GAGTGGTTCCGTCTTGCTAAAGCATAGAACTGGTGAAGAGCTTTCAGGTCCTGCCCTCGGACTGAGGAGGAAGGAAGAAATACACAGATGAAAGCAAGGACTGGGCACCCTGGGGGCCAGAGACGTGTCGTTTGGCCAAGATGCTGTTTGAAATATTTGAGCCAATTTCCAAAATCAGGTATCACATAAAAATCCAGATTTTTTTTCTTTAATCATTTAAATTTTATTTATTTTTTACACAGCAGGTTCTTATTAGCTATCCATTTTATACATATTAGTGTATACATGTCAATCCCAATCTCCCAATTCATCTCACTACCACCGCCCCCCTCCAGTATCCCCCCTTGGTGTCCCTCCGTTTCTTCTCTACATCTGTGTCTCTATTTCTGCCCTGCAAACCAGTTTATCTGTACCATTTTTCTAGCTTCCACATATATGCATTAATATATGATTTGTTTTTCTCACTACCACCGCCCCCCTCCAGTATCCCCCCTTGGTGTCCATACGTTTCTTCTCTACATCTGTGTCTCTATTTCTGCCCTGCAAACCAGTTTATCTGTACCATTTTTCTAGCTTCCACATATATGCATTAATATATGATATTTGTTTTTCTCTTGCTGACTTACTTCACTGTGTATGACAGTCTCTAGATCCATCCACATCTCTACAAATGACCCAATTTCGTTCCTTTTTATGGCTGAGTAATATTCCATTGTATATATGTGCCACATCTTCTTTATCCATTTGTCTGTCGATGGGCATTTAGGTTGCTTCCATGACCTGGCTATTGTGAATAGTGCTGCAATGAACATTGGGGTGCATGTGTCTTTTTGAATTACAGTTTTCTCTGAGTATATGCCCAGTAGTAGGACTGCTGGGTCATATGGTAATTCTATTTTTAGTTTTTTTAAGGAACCCCCTCTGACTTCTCATGAAAATTGGAAATATCTGGCAACACAGGGAGTATTTTTTCAGGATGGTGGTTGGCTGGAGCTGAGGACTGGCTGCCACCTTTCAAAAGAGTATGAATTCTGTGCCCCCAACACAGGATCCTGGCTTAGCTCTCCCTTCACCCAGCCAGCTCAGCCCACAGGCATCTAAGCGTAAGGCCCTGGCTCCGCTACAGGCGCAAACTCAATCCACCTGAATGTGGAGACACGAATGACAGACCTCAGGGCTCTGTCCCAGCCCACTGACTCTCACACCTGATGGTTTTCAGTGTTCCCTAGCCCTCGCTGCTACCCCAGACACAGACTCCCTTTTCAGATTTCAGCATGCATGGCTCTCAAAATTATGAGACTCAGAAGTCTTAAGAGTATCTCTAAAAAGCTTGTGCTGCCCAGAATCTGAGGCTCAAAATGGTGTGAATCAAAGTGTGGGGTGGGGTAAGTCATGTTTGCTTGTTTTTTTCTACAAGCGGAATTGGTAGAGAGCTAACGTGACCCCAGTCTCCAGGCTTTAGATCCTCCCCTGCCGGGGTCCGGCCTCCGAGATTTAGTCCGTGGACTCTTCCCTTTCTAAACATCTGTAGTCTGCCCTTCTCTGCTTCATAGCTCTTCTCAAAGTGTCCACCTTCAGACTCTTCCATTAGTTGACAAGAACAGTATACTGATGTCCAAGGAAGGTTGGATCCCTCATCTGGACAGAAAATCCATATTTGGAAAATGCAAATCCTCTGCAGGGGAACCAGGAGAGTAGTCGGTCATGGAGCCCTGGGGAGCCCACGGTTCAGCCCGCTTTGTGGCAACGCTAAAGAGCTAAGAGGTCAGTTTGGTAATTCCTAAGGCTAAGCCCTTATAACTATAAATAAATACGCAGAATGAAAGGAATGCAGGAAAGAAAAACAAATGGAGGAAAAAAGGAAATGAAAAACCTGACTTGATTTTATTGAGAAAATTAGAAGATGTCCTTTTGTGTAGCAATTACATCAGTGCCTTGCCGTGCAAATGCCCAGGAGATTTCTTCCCAAATGTACATTCCCTTAGCTAGACCTTGGTGTTCCTCATAGGCTGAGGTTCAGTAATCCTGGGAAAGTAGAAAGGTTTTTGTGGACTGTGTCAATCAAGAAGAAAAGGCCTTATGAACCACAAAACTGGATACTTTGTAAGGTACAGAACAGTCAGCACTTTCCTCTGAGGGGAGAACACACAATTGGCATGAAAGTGACCCAAGCAATGGGGTGAGTTGGAGAAGGTCCAAAAGTAGAGGATGTCCAGCTCCTTTTGTTCTCTCGGGCGTCACAAAGGGGCTCACTCTGTGCCCTGCCTGTGTCTGACCAGATGCACAGCCCCAGTCCCATTTCCACGCCATTTGTGGACCGATGTGAATTGGATAGTAACATCAGGATGCTGGCATCGGGGAAGGTTGTATTTTGTTGGCTTTTTCCCCCTGTGGTTTTCACCATCTGTTTCTTTTAATGCATAAACAAGGAAAATGACTGGTTTGGAATGCAAAGTTTTTAAAAAACCAGATGACCACAGGCATCCTCTAAATGAGAAAGAGAGAGCACGCGGGGGGTTCTGTGACATTTGTCAGGAAGTGAGACCTTAAATACTGGGAAGCATTAATGCTCCCTGCCAGGGGCGATCTGCAAAGGCAAGGCAGAGCCTCGCTGGCGACCCGCCTTCCTGAGGTTGTGCCTTATGTTTACATGTCACCAAGCGCTATTTTCAGATACTAGCACCACCCCATCTGTCTCCCAGCCTTTTTAAACTAAAGATGAAACACGTCTGCTGACCTTCAGCATAACCAGCCTTGGTTTTCCATTAGCGTTGTTACTAACTTGGCAACCTTGGATAGAATCCACTCTTAGAAACTTATAGACTGAACAAAAGCTGTGCTGTGAGCAGGTTTTATTAAACAGCCGAAACAGAGAGCTATAAATAGAGGAGCTGATGAGATAGACCAAGAGAAGATACTTCCTTTCTCTCCTGGACAATAGCCAGTGAAGAAAAAAATTATATAAGGGCATTGGGAACACAGTGTATCTTTCTTGAGCAAAGAGCATCCTGCTTTAAAAAGGAAGATTTGCTCTGCACAGTACAGTAGCCACTTTGTAAAGTGGTTCTGTATGTTGCATGCCAACAAACCTTAAAGCAAGAGATTCCTTTTTTAAACCCGAGGCAGTGGAGAGATTGGATGGGATGGTGGCTGCATACTAATCTCTTTTACCTTCATTTCAAGCCATAATCAGCTACAAGCACCAGGGATTTAAAAGCAAATTGTACCCGGGAATTTAGAGCCCCCAGGGAGAAGGGCATTGGTGCATTTGGCTGAGTTCCACCCATTTCGGGGTAAGATGGATATGAGCATTTTTTGCATAGTTTTGCAGGCAGCCTGACGCCAGAGTTTTCACATTAGAGAAAGGATAAAAGATGATGGTTTCTTAGGGAAAAACAAACTCTTCCTAATTTGCAGTGTCTGTTCTCACAAATGTCATGAGCAATACTTAGGTGGGTGCTGTTAGCATTCGGGGGACAGGGGTTAGGCAGAAACAAGACCCTAGTCGTTTAGAAGCTTTGGGGGGATTAAATATATTTTCAGAGGAGTTTAAGTTCCAGTCGTTTCTCTGCCTGTGCTTAGGACACAATGAAGTGTGTAGATATGAAAATGCGAGCCTGTCGGGTGAGATTTGTTTCATTGACATTGGTTCCAGATGCTCGAGCTGGGATGAGTGTACTTGACTTTTGACATCACTTGGACGTAGGTACCGTCTGGATGTTTGCTTCCCCGGTGGAAATGGGAAAATGATTAGACCTCAACTCTCTTCCTGGTCGGCTCCCAGACTCAGTATTTCATGTGTTTCATTCGTTAAAATGAAAGCTCCTGGAGGCTTCTAAGGGCAGCGCTGTGTGAGCCTTCATAAAAGTACTCTAGTGGCCTATGGAATTTTAGTTATAATCATAATAACGTCAGATGAAGAGGCTTCCTGGCGAAGGTATGAGAGGAATTTTAAGTGGCTGAACTCTATTTACAAATAGTTTCAGAGCCTTTTTTTTTTTTTTAAATGCTGTGCTTTTTTTTTTTTTTTTTTTTTTTTTTTAAAGAAAATAGATGCTTTCACCCTGTCATTGTCAAGAGATGGAAGCTCTTAATCTTTCCTATAAAAAATTCTTTACATATATTCCATTGGAAAATATTTGTGTCCACGCTTTTGCTTTCTGTATATCATCAAACATACACCCCACAGTTAAAGTCAAAACAGCAGCCTCTAAAGTTTTACTGCAGGTTCTAATCATAAAAGATGTTGTGGAAATAATACAAGAGAGTTGCGGGAAAAAATAACAATTGAGCACTGAATTTTTACTTATGATCGTGAGATAACATACTAATAAAGGACATTGATGGGAATAGGGTCAGGTATAAAAAGAAAATCATCACCTTTCTTCTCCAATCCTGCAACAACTCCCTAAGTACAGTTTTTTGGGTTTTTTTTTTGCGATATGCGGGCCTCTCACTGTCGTGGCCTTTCCCGTTGCCGGACGCGCAAGCTCAGCGCCCATGGCTCACGGGCCCAGCCGCTCCGCGGCACGTGGGATCCTCCCAGACCTGGGCACGAACCCGTATCCCCTGCATCGGCAGGCGGACTCTCAACCACTGCGCCACCAGGGAGGCCCTAAATGCTGTGCTTTTGATGCTCCAAAGGGTTGATCTAGGACTTTCATAATTCAAACATGATTCTCCTTTCAAGTACCTTTTGGGAATTCAGACTTTATCTGACTAACTTTGAGGTGATTTTGTTACCTTGAGGAATGGGGACAGAGGTATTTCAGGGAATGGTTCTTCACTGGGATTCAAGAGGAATTTAAAAGTTTACCGGCCTGGTGTCTCCTTCCTTTTGTCTCTTCCCTCTTTCTTTGTGTGTGTGTGTGTTTTGTGGGTTTTTTTTCTTTCTTTCTTTTTAGTTGGGTGAAAGATGAGGGTGGAGTGTCTGATTAGGAGGCTAGGAGATGCCCTCAGGACTGGCTTGGAATTTTACCCCCGTGTCTTCCTGTCCACAGGTGATCACGCCGATGAGGACAGGCCATGGCTATGTGTACGAGTACCCATCCAGATACCAAAAGGACATCTATGATGTCCCTCCTTCCCAGACCGCTCACGGGGTGCGTACCAGAAATGTGGTCACTGGGGAAGAGGGAAGCTTTCCTTCAGGGCTACAGAGGAAAGGGAAGTTCACAAAATATGTACGGGTCATGTGACGCTTTATTTAGGTTGTCTATCCAGGGGCCATTTTAGCCAAAATGTTATTTAAGTTATGTTTTCTGGATTTGCGTTATTAGGGAATCGAGGCTTTGACCTAACAAAGCTTTTATTGCTTATCAATTTATCAGGCAGCGTAAAATTTAAGCTACAACTTAAAATACAGACAGTGTAGGCAGTTTACCTAAGATCATTTTTATATTCAATCTAAGTCAAAGAATACAAAATTGAAAAAGAAAAATTCCATCGACCCTTTATTACATAGAATTCAGCTGAAGAGCAAGGGAACACATAACCTGGTAAATAAATCCATCATTAAAAGCTTGGTACATAAAAAATGACAAGTATAAGACATTTCCGTGCTGGGTAACTCTGGTGGGGTGTTTCTCTTCAGGTGTACGACATCCCACCGTCGTCTGTGAAAGGCCCCATGTTCTCAGTTCCAGTGGGAGAGAGAAAACCTCAAGGGGTCTATGACATCCCTCCTACCAAAGGGGTAAGTGAGCTACTACAGAGCAGCAAAAAACGTGTGTGTGTGTGTGTGTGTGCGCGCGCGCGCGTGTGTGTGTGTGTTTGTGTACTGGGATAAACAAACCAAAGAGGAGAAGCTAGCCTTTGTAAGAGAGTACAGGGAGGGAAGAGAAGGGAGAGGGAGGAAGAAACGGCAATAAAGATAATTCTAGGAATTCCATATTTAGGGGCCCACACTAAAAAAATGGGGAGTCGGTAAGGAGAGCAAATAAGAAGGTAAAGTAATCAATTCCGTGTGGCAAGCAACTCCTGTATCTCATATAGCTCATGTTTATATAGGGTGTCACAGCTTACTCAGGCCGTATATATATGGGTTAACGCATTGGACTCATTCTGCCCAGGGAGTACAGTTATCCTGATTCTACAGATGAGGGAACTGTGTCTCAGAACACGGAAGCAGCTTATTGGGCAGCACACGGCTGACAGGTCCGGGAGAGACCCTAGGCCTCCTGACGCCTGGCCTGGGCTGCTAATGCATCATCTGCCCTCCCAGCCTGCAGCAGCTGAGGAAGGAGACCCAGGAGGTCTGCAAAGCAGGCCCAGGAGAGCAGCGCAGGCAGGAGGGGTCCACGCAGGGCAGCGTGGAGGCCAGGGAAGGATGCACGAGTCAAAGGGCCGGGGAGGTGAGGGCAGGGAGACGCTTAGGGGTGGAGGGCGAGCGAGAGGGAGGCAGCACCTGGCCCTCATCCTGATGTACCGCTCAGTTTCCGCACCATCACGTGAGCCAACTGAGCGAATAACAGCTTCGCTCTCCACTTGCTTTTCAGGGATACACCATTCCACCTCCTGCCTGCAGAGATGAGGCCGGGCTTAGGGAGAAAGAGTACGACTTCCCCCCTCCGATGAGACACTCTGGCCGGCCCGACGGCAGACCCGAGGGCGTGTATGACATCCCCCCAGCCGGCACCAAGCCCCTGGGGAAGGACCTTCACACTAAATATAACGGCGACGCTGCAGCGGAGCTGGCGCCACGGAGACACCAAAGCATTTCCCTGAGCCACCCGGCCCCGCAGCTGCGCCAGCCCGGGGGCTCCCAGAACGACGCCTACGATGTCCCCCGGGGGGTCCAGTTTCTGGCAACGCCAGCAGAAACCAGCGGGAAAGCAAACCTCGAAGAGAGAGACGGCGTTTACGACGTGCCGCTGCACAACCCGCCGGACGCCAGAGGCTCCCGGGATGCGGTGGACGGCGTCAACCGGCTGTCCTCCTCCAGCACCGGCAGCACCATGTCCACGTCCTCCACCACCTCGAAGGAATCTTCGCTGTCTGCCTCCCCGTCCCAGGACAGAAGGCTCTTCCTGGATCCAGACACGGCCATCGAGAGGCTACACCGGCTGCAGCAGGCCCTGGAGATGGGCGTCTCGGGCCTGATGGCGCTGGTCACCACCGACTGGCGGGGCTACGGGTACATGGAGCGACACGTCAACGAGGTCCGCGCCGCCGTGGACAGGGTGGAGCTGGCCCTGAGGGACTACCTGCACTTCGCCAAGGGCGCCACGGCCAACGCCTCCTGCCTGCCGGAGCCCCCACTCCACAACAAGATGAAGCGGGAGCTCCAGAGGCTGGAGGACTCCCAACAGATCCTGAGCCAGACCAGCCATGACTTAAACGAGTGCAGCTGGTCCCTGAATGTTCTGGCCGTCAACAAGCCCCAAAATAAATGGGATGACCTGGACCGGTTCGTGATGGTGGCAAAGACGGTACCAGATGACGCCAAGCAGCTGACCACGACCATCAACACCAACGCGGAGGCCCTCTTCAAGCTGGGCCCTGGCAGCTCGCATGGGAAGAG